TCTCTCTCTCTCTCTCTCTCTCTCTCTCTCTCTCTCTCTCTCTTGTAGATTACTCTACGAGAGCTGTATATTATTGGGTAAGGAAGAGAGGACTGTGAATACCAGTTTTGTACATAATCTGCAAAAGGATCACGCAATACCATTGTTTTGAAATACCATGACTGTCTTCATCACATAAGATCATTGTCATAACCATGGCTACTGTAGGATCCTTGACAACAATATAATACATTTGTATTTTCATTTATGACAACTTTCATACTTTTCTACATTTATTATATTCTATATTAGGGAATACTGATAACTTTTTGTAATTGTAATTATAGGTTTTACATCCCCATTGACACGATAATTATTACGATTCAGGAGGAATGAATTCCGCGATCCTGCCTGTCACTATCAGAACCAACCAATGCTGAGAGGCATACTACGTCCGAGCAGAAATCTTTTTATATTATTTAGTAGAGGTTTTACGGCACTCGCAACAAGGTGTGGATGTCAACAGAGAAGTCTTTACAGGGAATCAGGCTTACTCTGCTCACCTCTCTAGCTTCAACAGCACAAAGTCTGTTTAGACTTTCAATGCACCCCGGAAATAATGGGTCACAAGAGTGTGACAATCATACTGCCCTCTTGCGTTATAGTTCTTTCCTTTATCATTTTCCTCCATGTTTTCCTGTCCTCAGCTATTTCTTCCCAGATGCTAACATCTACTCCAAGCTTAGATAAGTTGTTTTTGCAGGTGTCTTTGTACCTCAATTTTGGTCTTTCTCTTGGTCTCTTTCCCTGGGCAAGTTCTCCATAGAGAAGCTGCTTCGGAATCCGGTTGTCGTCCATTCTCTTGACATGGCCCAGCCATCTCAATCTTTTTAAACACAGGATAGTTGTCATGCTCTGGAGGTTTGCCCGTGCCAACACTTCAACATGTGTAACCTTGTCACGCCACCAAATGCCTAAGATCTTGTGGCAGCATCTGAGATGGAAAAATAATTTTAGTGGCTCTTAAAATGGGCCACCGAAGGTTAAATATTATTGTGACAAGTCCCAAATCACCATTATAGAAATACATTATGTTAAGTAGCAAAATCATAGACTCATTTTTTTATGTACATAATCACCCATTCATTAAAGCGTAATATAATTTGCCTACAATAGATAATGACGTATTATTCCACATGATGTTGGACTTTCACTTTCTTTTTTTTAAGGGGTTGGGGAAAGGGGTGGGTTTTGGGGGCGTAGGCAAAACAGATCTTACTTTACTTGACTTTCTCCGTCCTCTTGTACCTCTAGGGCGTCGAGGGGAGAAAGAGCTTCCTGTCTTTAGCAAGTTTGATGGCCTGGCTGGGTGGGATATAGAATGTTCTAATGGTATCCTTCACAACCTGGATCCAGGTCTTTCTTGGTCTTCCTCTTGCTTTGTACCCTGACACTTTCCTGTAGTAGGCTTTTCTGGCAAGCTGGTTAGGTAACATATGTGTGAGATGTCCAAACCACCTGATGTTTGCCTTCGGATGTAGTGGAGGACATGTGTTGTTCCCACCATTTCTCTAATCTTGTTGTTTCTGACCATGTCCCGTCTGGTTTTGTTGGCAGCTCTCCTTAGATGCAAAACAGATCAACCCAGCTAAATGAAAGAAAATCCGGCGGCCCTGCAGAGGTTGGTTTGAATCGACTCAACTTTATGAGCACAATGAAGTATTTTAGTTTTAGTAGAGGTTTTACGGCGCTCGCAACTGCATAAGGTCATAGGAGCGCCAAAAGATTAGAGGTGTTACAAGAGAGTAACAAACAAAAAAAGAAGAAGGGGAGATAAGGATGATAGATGTTCGATAGGAAAGAAGGAGCAAACCACACCAGAGCACCCGCCAACCGCCCGCACAATGAAGTATGAGGTAAAAACAAAAACAAAAAAATCACCCAAAAAATCACATCAACATTAAAAAGCAAGAAAAATTCAGAAACAGGAAAAGAAAATGACACAGGACCTCCCACTGGCGCCCTCCAACTACCCCCTACCAGTTACAGACTTTAGTTTTAGTAAAGGTTTTGTTTTTTATTTAGTAAATGTTTTACGGCGCTCACAACTGCATAAGGTCATAATATGAGCGCCAAGGGGTGGATGTCAACAGAGAAGTCCTTACAGGGAATCAGACTTACTCTGCTCACCTCTCTGGCTTCAACAGCACACAGTCTGTTTCAACTTTCAAGGCACCCCGGAAATAGCGGATCCCAAGAGTGTGACAAACATACAAAAGAAGTAGAGGAAAATGACAATAGTAAGGACTAGGAAAGAAAAAGCAGCATTTCTCTGTTGTAGTTCAGGCACAGTTATATGAGCATGACATTGTTGGATCAGCCCATCTACAATTCTACTGTGCATTAGAACGAGAAATGTCCCCAGTCAGTGGTTAGTAGAGGTTTTATGGTGCTTGTAACTGCATAAGGTCATATGAGCGCCAGAAGATTAGAGGTGTTACAAGAGAGTAACAAACATAAAAAAGAAGAAGGGGAGATAAGGATGATAGATGTTTGATACGAAAGAAGAAGCATAAACCACACCAGAGCACCCGCCAACCACCCACTCAGTTACAGACACATAAATGAAATGATACAAAGGAGCAACAAAAAAAAAGCAAAGACGAGTGAGACCGAGGGAATGAATGACGTTTTATTATAATATAAGACCATGGTACCACACCAAAAAAAAACACATGAAGTAGAAGAGCATCTCAAAACTGACAAAACAAAACATCATAATAATATATATGAAAGACACAGCATTGTGTACCTAAAGTAGACCGAAAAAGTCAGCACACTATTCACGCCTTTTCTTTTTATCATCAGTGGAATGCAGAATGCCCTACCTGCAGTACCTAACATAAATGATGATCATAACGAAGTCGAGACCCACTCACACACTGTGAACTAGAGGGGGCGGGGGGAAGGGAGGGGGAGGATTTAATATTAAGTCGGGGAGAAAAGGGGGAAGGGGGTTATAATATCATGCTGGGCAAGGTTATGGTCATCAGCTCATAATAGTTTTAGTAAGGTTTTATGGCGTTTGCAACTGCATAAGGTCATATGGGCGCCAAGGGGTGGATGTCAACAGAGAAGTTCAAATGAGGAATCAGGCTTACTCTGCTCACCTCTCTAGCCTCAAAAGCACAAAGTCTGCTTCGACTATCAAGGCACCCTGGAAATAGCATTTCACAAGAGGGTGACAAACATACAAAAGAAGTAGAGGAAAAGTGACGATAGTAAGGATGAGGAAGGAAAAAGCAGGAGTTTCGCCGATGTTGTTCCGGCACAGTACAAGCATGACATTGATAAATCAGCCCATTTATCAACTCATCAATGTTTCATAAGCCTACCGACCACTTCTAATCCTATCGAAGAAGGGCTGCTTAGAACCTCTTACCTAACAAGGCTATCCCAGACTATGAGGGATATTTTGTCACCAGCAGAAAGACAAAGAAACTCAACAAAGTCTTCCCTATGAAGGGAATTAAATCCTATCTTTTGCATTTTAGAAAGATGGAGTAACTCGAATTTACCTTCGCATTACGAGTGAAGAGTCTAGCCACCATACTACAGGTGCCATAGGGCAAAATTTTCTCCTGAAGAATTTGTAATATAGAGAAGCATTTTACCATCATACATACATAACGTGTGAAGAACTCAAAATGCTGATGCTTTTAAAAGCAGTTTTGTTTGCATTTTTAGGGTAAATCAATGATCTATCAGCGATATAGTACCAGGTTAGGTTTAAGCAAAAGGAAACACATTGGCCTATCAACGATCAGTAGAATAAATGCTAGGTCCATAGTACAGAGTTTGGTTTGAGTAGAAAGAAGTACAGAGGTATAATAAAAAGTGAGACTGAAAAACAGAAACACCAGAAGAAGAGTAAAGAAGTAAGACCCATCGGTAGCACCCTCCAACTACTTGCAAGAAAGAAGGACAATAAAAATAGTGGGGGGTTGTTTTTTTTGGGGGGGGGGTTATAGTAGAGGGTTTTACGGCGCTCGAAACTGCATAAGGTCATATGAGCGCCAAGGGGTGGGTGTCAACAGAGAAGTCTTTACAGGGAATCAGACTTAGACTGCTCACCTCTCTAGCTTCAACAGCACAAGGTCTGCTTCGACTATCAAGGCACCCCGGAAATAGCAGGTCACAAGAGAGTGACAAACATACAAAAGAAGTGGAGGAAAATGACAATAGTAAGGACCAGGAAAGAAAAAGCAGCAGTTCCCTGTTGTAGATCAGGCACAGTTATGAGCGTGACATGAGTCAGTCCATTTACAATTCTACTATGCTTGAATGGCCTAAAGACACTACAGTCAGTGGCACTGCCCCGGGGGATGAAAAATAGTTACAACTAGTAGTACATGCAAACAACAAATAAATAGACATTTGTTAACGAGCCTCAAAAAAGACAATTGAATATTTGAATATTATATAACAGAAAAAATATTTACAGGAATGGTCAATAATTACAAAACCATGTCCCAACAATGAAAACACCATTCATTCATTAAACCTTTTCTGAAAACATTGTCACCAAAAATAAAACCCACTCTGGTCATGGCGACAAAGCCACAGTGGATACTAGCCTTACTAACAATTGGCACAACAAGAAAAAAATCGATTTAAATGACTCCAAAAAATTGCACTCAAAGTCTCAATAAGAATTAGAAACAATGCAAAGCAAAACCGACACTTGTTCATAATAAAACAGTTGGGAAAATAAATCAAAATCAGAGTGCTCCTTGTAGACAAAAAAAACTAAAGAGTGAAAAAGAAATTATGGGAAACCATACGTCCTAAAGCAAGGGGACTTTAAAGCAAAGCAAATGTTACACTACAGGCTTCTCTGGGCCAAAATGTCCTCTTGGCTTGGAATTCAGTGAGAAGCAAAATAAAAATGTTTAAGTACAGGGGAATGAAACAAAGACAAGTACACAATCGTACAATAGACAAAATCGCATGCAAGTCTGTTCAAATTGACAGGTTTATCCAGCTGCAATATCACATGAGTCCAGGGCTTTTTTTTTTCCCCACAACAGCCAACCCTCATTTTTTTTGTTCAAATGTAAAAGAGCAGATACTAATACTAATACCGCCTCTTGACAATATCATAATATTTATTTGACCGATTAAAGATTTTGTGAAGTAACTTAAAAAACTAAAATGTTCGTCTCACACATAGTACATTTGGTTTGAACAATACAAAAAAACTTCTTGTTCATGTTCATACGTTATCACATTTTGTTTTGGCAAGAATAAAAAAAGAAAAACAATGCACAGCAACATATACTACCAGAGCATATAGCTCACTTGTCAAATCACAAATCATTTATTTCAGAATTAAGGATAGAGGACATATCGTGTGTCACGACATCAGTGGAGTCAGACGCTCGTCAATTTTGGGGCATGTAGGATTATTGGTATCATCTGAAAGCCGATTTATTTGCCTTGCTTCCAATGAATTAAATATCCATTTATCTTGAATAGAAATCATGATATTTGCGATTGAAGGAAGTAAGGTTGCCTGATTTCAGTGTGAAATTAGCGAGAAAATGGCCTCCAAAGTTTGGTCATTCCAATAGCTAAAGAGTCTTTAAAAACTGAAAAATGACATATGTTGTGCCTTTAAGCAACGTTTTTCTGTAAAACTCGCATGGAAAAACCTTTATATGGATGTATAAGAGGTTAAGCCAAAAAATTAAAATTCGATAAAAATTTCCAAACTGGCAAAAAAATGCCTGTTTTTCCGATTTCGTTATTTTGACGAGCGCCTGATTTCACCACGCTGCCTCATATAAGTCAGGTGTTTTCCAATACATCTCAAAAACAGCCATTTGATCAGTTATCGTGTCTTCTAAATATCAATCACATTACTAAGGTATATTAAATTAGATTTGAGCTCTATGCTCTGGTCTATTTTACCTCCATACACTTGAAAGATTATACAAAATATAGGCAAACCTCTTAACATTCTCCTTACTCTGTGTTGGCCGTGCCGCTAAATGTTTGGCTTGCGCTGACGAAATAAAAAATTGGATCACTACCGCATATTCTTGGTGCTTCTGTCAGACCACTTTACCTGTTCCGTCCAGTTTGTGAAAAGAGAATATGAGCTGTTTGCTTCTACATTGACATAAACAGATCAAGAGGAAATCAGTTCTTCTGCTTTCCCAATCGTAGTCATAGCTCTTGGTTCAGAACTTCTAAAACTTTCTCATCATTTCTTCAGTATACATTATATGTCAATATTGTCACAGGTAAAAAAAGTTACTTACTCCTTTCACCTCAGCTGTTAATGGAATGAGACAGTTTTTTTCTCTCTCCTGAGAAATTTTGCTTCTCTGGACATAATACACTTTAACAGCTTGCCAGCGATACATGTTCTTTGTGATCATCATTGCCTTTCTCCCCCTGCATCAGGGTACAGGCCACAAACAAACACTTTCCCCCTTTCTCTATCTGGGGATAGCCTCTTGATGTTATTCCATGTCTTCCCACTTTTCAGTACGTCAATTTCTGTGGTTCTTCTCCAGGTTCCACGCAGTCTTCCCCTTGATCTTTTACCTTGTGAATTTCAGTCCAACACTTTCTTTGTCACACGCACTTTTTGCCTACGCTTAAAGCCTGAAACAAGAACTGTCACAACTACAACAACTACACATACTTAAGTAAATGCTTAGCCCACGTGGGCCACATTGACAAAAGGGAAGCAGTTGCCTTCAGTGTTGTTTAAGGTAGTAAAGGAAAAACAATGCTACGTACGGTCAAGCCTAGACTCTGGCCATATAGACAGCCATGATGGAGACACAGAGTACACATGTGGCTACAGAAAAAAAGAATATTTGTGTGTGAGGCATCGTGGTGAAATCAGGCGCTCATTAAAACAATGACTTTTTGTTCGCTTTTTCTTTTTTAGACTGAACACCTTTTATGTCCACTTAATTACACATATTTGCGTGGATTTTACTTAAAAACGTTGTTCAAAGGCACAAAAATGTAAATTTGCAGTTTCCAAGGACACTCGAGCTTTGGAGGTCACCAAAGTCTGGCGGATGTTTTCTTGCTAATTTTACCTCTGACACCATGCGACTCTCCCCTCCGTCATCGCCAATATCTCAACTATTCAAGATGGATGGATATATCTTTCACCAAAAACAAGACAACTGAACAAGCTTCAAGATGATACCAATAACTCCATATGCTCAAAAACTGACGAGCGTCTCATTCCACCACGTCGTGACATGTATTTAAACGACTCCACACAATTTACAATCTTAACTTCTTTGAAAAAGAAGAAGGTACAATTACAGATGAAAATAGCTGGCGACTCAGAAAAATCGTGAACTATCAAGGAAAAATCCTGTACAATTCACACAAAAAGTAAACATTTCACTCAAGCAAATAAAAACATGCTCGATACTGACCCACTGCTCAATCTTTAAATAGAAAAATGTTTGAGGCTGGAAATGCATAACAGTGAACAATTCTCAAAAGGATATTTTCAATTAAACAAATTGTATATTGGCTTAACATGACTATCAAGTCCATATGATAAGAAGTATACTTTGAATAAATATTACAAATCTTATACAATAAAGAACCTTAAATATTTTTAAAAAATTATATTTTCACTTACTGGAATTCATCATCACTATCATAATTTAATACCAGCGTTTTCATATGTGGGAAGTTGACAGTATTTCTTTCCCATAATCTTGCATTTGCTCTTTTCCGTCGACGTTTTACGAGAACTCTAACCACAAGAACAAACACAACGACGGCAAGAAGGCCTGCAACAGACAGCCCAATTGTCAACAGACGACTGGCAAAAACAGAATCTCGTGACGCTAAATCGGACTGGGAATCAATCTCTTTCATCTGATTCTGCGGAGAAGAGAAGTTGCGGTCCTTTCTGACCCAGATGCTGTCCAGAGTGGTGTGGTCGAGGGCTGACCGCTGCTCCCACAACACATGTGTACTGTTCACGACCAGCAGACGGCCGTAGCTGTTGAGCGACGAGTTGTCCAAGCGGAAGGCTGACCAGTCAGCTGTGGGCAGGGGGGCAGGGGGGTGGGGGGGGGGGAGGGGGAGATGAACAGATAGAAAACAAATGAGCTTGTCAGACATGTCAGAGACAATGAACATGCAGTAGAAAATAATAAATAATAAACAAATAATAAATTACCCTTTTATTTGTCCCAGAAGGGCACTTTGGTTTACAATGGCAAACATATATATATATATATATATACATACACAACTACATAATTATAAATGCGCACATACATATATACATGCATAAATACATACATAAATACACAATATGAAACAAATACAGAACAATTTCTTGTTCTTGTTCTTGTTTCAGGAAGCAACATCCCTGCACTCCGGACATGTCCATTGATGCTCCGTTGCTCTCTCCAAAATGTTGCCGAGGGTCCTTCTACTGATTGTGCCAGTGCACATCTGGTTGAACGTTCTTCTGTTCTTTCCTGCAAGGATGCCAGATTTTCCGCTTCCTTTTTTTATTCCCAAAAGCATCATCCTCTCCACGGCAGTACTGGCCTCTGCCTCCCTATCTTCCTCCTCAATCAGTTGGCGAGAAAGACATTTCAGGATCTCGACCCTATCTGGTTGAACCGTAATGTCAACTAAGGTGGCCTCACCAGCCAATCTGTCGGCTTTTTCATTTCCCCTAACACCTGCATGGCCAGGGCAGAAAATCCATGTGAGCGATCGTATAGGCGTTGGTTCGACAGCTTGAATCCATTCCGTTCTCATGAAACCTTTTTCGATCCTTCTGAGGGTACACATGGAATCAGTGATAAGAACAGCATGGGTTGTGTGGGGGCAATCTTGGGTCATCCAATCAAGTGCTTTCGTGATGGCTTCAATTTCCATTCGCATACTTGATGTAGCCGTGCTGCAGGCTCCAGATGCACTGTGTAGGATTTTATTGTTGGCGAATGCAACAAATCCCCATCCACTTCTCTGGCTATCTCTTTTCACTGAACCATCTGTATAAATTATAGGATCCCCTGCTTTTGAGTTTGTGTCAACAATCTCGTTGATATCGCTCTTGTTGATGGCAGCCGCAACATTTCTTCTGTCTCTGCCCATGCTTATTTTGACCTTGGTGAGGTCCCTGTATTCTCCGGCCACCTGCTCCCATTCTTCGCCTAGTGGTAGGCTCTCAGGTACACAGATTGTTCTCAGGGAATCCTCTGCTTCCGCCATCCAAGATTTTCCTCTCTTGATTCTGACTCTCCTGTTGTCATGAAGTGCTTTGTGAAGTGGATGATCCTTCTTGCCCTTTACATTGAGATACATCTTTGCCTGAGCTATCCTATGGCGTACTCTGATGCCACTTAAACCTAGCAAGTAGCGCATGCACAATATTGGAGTGTCCTTGGTGCAGCCCAGCACTGCTTTCATTGCCTCATTCTGCACTCAATCCAGCTTTGCGATCTGTGTGTCGGACAGCGTGAGACAGCCCAATCCGTAATCAATGACAGACAGGACGACCAGCTGCAACATCAGGAAGAGCACTCTTTGCGGAATCAGAGCGGCCGCCATGGTCTTGATTGCACCAACACCTCGTTTGGCCTTTGTTACCACATGATTCACATGCTTGTTGAAGGATAACGACCTGTCGAAGACGATTCCCAGATACTTCTGCTCTGACTGTCTGTCGATAATCTCATAGTTGCAAGTGATTGGTGGAGTTATGTCTTGGACAATCCTGTTGTTGAGGGAACACCAAAGTACCTGCGCCTTTGAAGGATTGATGACTGCTTCATTTTGGTCGCACCATTTTACAACTGAGTGAAGTCTTTTCTCCATGTTCCTTGCCATCTGAAGTCTGTCATCTCCGTGCTCGTATGCCATTATGTCATCCGCAAAGCTCAGGACACGTCCAGATTCTTTCTGATGCATCGTTACTTGTGCAGTGTACACATTGAAAAGCACAAGAGAGAGGGGGGGATCCTTGGGGCAGTTTACAGAACAGTTTACAACAATGCCACTGTCAGAGAAGACAAACACACAGAAAAATGATATGTGGCCATTTGTACAGGTGTTTGTCTTATACAGGTGATCCAGGAATCAAACTCACTTCTTCTGCATGAAACAGTGAACAGCCTATGAATAACATCCCAGTCACTGTCCCTCGTCAATGTTCACAATAATGGCAAACCAACACAAATTAGAATCCCTCGCAAAAAAACAAAAAAACAGCTGAAATTTATAATAGAGACAAACCAGCTCTAACAATCACCTGTATAAGACAAACACCTGTACAAATGGCCACTTCCAATTTTCCGCCTTTATGTGAGCAGCTATCGGCACTGAGTCCTGCCTGCGTTACATAGAAAGACAGAGGATAAAATGGTTTGGCCACCTGTTACGCATGTCACCTGACCAGCCAGCCTCGAGAGCCTACAACACCAAGCACTCAGGCTATAAAGGAAGAGGAAGGCCACGCAAAAGGTGGATCGAGAGTGTCAAGGAAAGCCTAAGAAAACATAACATCACAACTGAAAGAGCTGCGGAGCTGGCCTACCATAGAAAACTGCATCTCCCCTCGACACTTAACGGCAACAGAGGATGAAAAAGTAAAAACAAAAGTAAAGTAAGTGGGGTTTTTTTTGTTTGTTTGTTTTTTTTACATTATAAGAACACTGTGTCAGACAATCACCCATCTAGGATAAAGAGAAAGACACCTCTCTCCTCCACAACAGGTAGTCATCCTAGACAATTTCAACTGCAGCCTACATTCAAACTCCATGAGCCCAGAAAAAGAAAGCATTGACTTACGCCGCTCCGACTCGTCAAAAACATCGGCCCCCTCCCGGCTTCCACCTGCCCCAGTGATGATCTGAACGGGCACATCGGGGTTGGCGTACGAGTGCTGCGTGACATTCCCCTGGTACATTGGCCACAGGCGCTCATAGTTGTGCTCGTGGGCTTGGATCACAAGATCCACTTTAGAATTCCGGAAAATCTCCTCAAACCTTGAGGCAGAATAGAAAAGTAGAAACCTTCACATCATGTTTGTTTTAGTAGGGTTTTTACGGCGCTCGCAACTGCATAAGGTCATATGAGCACTAAGGGGTGGATGTCTACAAAGAAATCCTTACAGGGAATCAGACTTACTGAACTTTTCGGACTATAAGGCCCCCTTCCACTAACCAACACACATACACACATATACACACATGCCTACACACATGCCTGCCCGCGCACACACACACACACACACACACATACACACACACACACACACACACACATATACAACATGTGCACACACACACACACACACACACACACACACACACACACACACACACACACACACACACAAACAAACACATGGGCTTACACACACAAACACACACACAAACACACACACACACACAGTCACACACAGATCCATACAACCCAACACATACATACACACTTAAACACGCACACCTAGATACAGTCACACACAATGTGTGTTTCATCAACTTTCTCTCCCCCACCGCCCCCCACCCCCAAACCCCAACTCTAGGTGTGGAATTCCCCTTCTACCATTCCCCAGATTTCTCAAACTCACCCTTGTCGGACTAAAGAGTCCACTTTCGCGCAGTCGTCCCCAATGTGCGTGCTGCAATACATCGGCCGATGTCCAATCGCTACGATCCACGGTGTCATCAAACGATTTGCGTTGGCAGCCTTCAAGTCCTTGACCAGCCAGTCCCTCTGAGCTTTTTCAAAATTACCGTAGTTGGTGAAGAATACCTCCGATGAATAGCTGAGAATGTAAAAAAAAAAACAACCAAAAAAACAATCAACCACTTTTGTTTGTATCAGTATAACACCCAACTATCAGCTATGGTGTAATTGTTCAGCTCTTTGCCTTGGATGCAAACAATAGAGGTTCGCTAGCTTTGTTCATCCCATTCATGGGGGGGGGGGGGGGGGAATTGCTCTGTATGTCCCATTCACGGGAGAAAAATTGTTTTGTTATCCCATTCCTTAATACAAAACATAGGTATTGAGTAGGGGCCTTAAGTAAGAACATTTATTAATAAAAAAAAAGAAAAAGACTGGCTGCAGTGAGACGAGTGCACAAGCTCATCTTATGCCAGCATCAGGTTCTCTCTTCTACTTTTAGAATAATAAAGCATCAGTTATGAGTTAATAATAGCCCTCTTTCTCACATTAAAAAATTAACAAACAAATAAGCAGATAAACAAACATATGAGAAAGATCACTACAATTTTGCAACCATAATTTGCAACCCACAAGGCGAATGGGTATTGTGACTGGGGGAGCAGAAATAAGAACAGTTTTTTTCTACAGGTATTGATTCTCTTTTAACGTATTAGATGGGTACAGAGTAATATCATTCTTTTTAGTGTGCATTAGAGACCTATTTCGAGAGAGTTTAACATACAGCAATGCCTGATGTCTCGTCTTTTTCTCTCTCCAATTCATAAGTGTCTATTTTAACATGCACACACATCTTATTTTTCACCAAAACTCCAATTTCCTGTCAAAACAATAGGGAACTCATTATTAGAAGCAGCCTCTAAATCCTTTGCTTGAACACAAAGTATTTATCTCGCTTATATTGTGAACTTCAAAGTAGTATTATCAATTCATCTACTGAAATAAATTAGAAAACTTTTTCAGATAGCAGGTTATGGAAAGAATATTGACCAGTGATATGTGCCAACACATAGTCATTGAGAATACACCCTGAGAGAAAAAATACATGAAAAAACATTAAAATTGTTTTGTTTTATGAACACTTGAGTTTAATAAATAAGAGCAGGTTGACCGCACTTACCTTATCAAATGCACAGGACCGATATCGATGCTGTACCACATTTTGTCCTGAGGAATGGGCCAGTCAGTGTTGGGCATGGAGAATCGATAGCGATAATGCACAAAGCTGTCAAAGTCTATTTCTGGGAAACAGAAAGAAAGAAAATGGGAAGTTCTTGGGATAGGAAACAACTAAAAATACTTTTTGCATCATCATGAAGAGGACTTCTTTGGCTTAAATACAACAAATTGAACAATGTGATGAGCCCCTTAATAATGCTCATTTCATTAACCCCTTCATGGCATAAGTTTTTAAAATCTTTTTCTACCATGACAACAACAACAAAAACAGCGAGAAAAAGCGGAAGGAAAAATAAAAATTCAAGTCTCATCAAACAGACAAAAGTTCAAGGGGGGGCTCGGCAAACAAAAGTTCGGTAACATAAATAAAGTCTTGTCACTACCAAAAAAAAAAGACACAAGACAGACACACACTAGCAGTCTTGGCTTCTTACCATGATTTCCAGGACACGTCAAGTAAGGAATTGTCGATGCCAGAGGTTCTATAAGCTTCATAAAGTAATCGCCAACCTAGACGCACGAGAAAAAAATAAAATTGTATTTTATATTTCTGATACAGCGTGGTGGAATCAGGCTCTCGTCAAAATAATCAAAGTGAAGAAACTTGCATTTTTCCGCAGGTTTGTGAATTTTTATCAAATTTTTTTTTTTTGGCTCAATACCTTTCATGCCCATTAAAAAACTCATTTTTGTGTGGATTTTTCTGAAAAACGTTGATTAAAGGCACAAAAAATGTAAATTTTCAGTTACCACGGACTCTTAAGCTTAGGAAATAACTAATCTTTGGCAGCCTTTTTCTCACCAATTTTACCTCTGAAAACAGGTGACCCCCACCTCCTTCATTCGCAAATATCTCGACTTGTATTCAAGAGAAATGGATATTTTTTTCATCTACATAAAGACAAGTGAACAAGCTTTAATATGATACCAATAACTTTACATTCCCAAAAATTGACGAGAGCCTGATTCCACCACGATGCCTCACATTTTTTTTTTTATAGTAGAGGGTTTTATGGCGCTCGCAACTGCATAAGGTCATATGAGCGCCAAGGGGTGGGTGTCAACAGAGAAGTCTTTACAGGGAATCAGACTTAGACTGCTCACCTCTCTAGCTTCAACAGCACAAGGTCTGCTTCGACTATCAAGGCACCCCAAAATAGCGGGTCACAAGAGAGTGACAAACATACAAAAGAAGTAGAGGAAAATGACAATAGTAAGGATCAGGAAAGAAAAAGCAGCAGTTCCCTGTTGTAGATAGATCAGGCACAGATATGAGCGTGACAAGAGTCAGCCCATTTACAATTCTACTATGCTTGAGCAAGAAATGTCCCCCCTTTGGGAATGGCCTAAAGACATTTCAGTCAGTGGCACTGCCCCGGGGGGTAAAAAATTATATTTACATTCTACATCACAAAAGAGTAGAAAGTAGAAACCCAGTATAGAATATTGATGTAATTGATACGTAGCGTATGGCAAGTCAGCACAAAGAAGTCGATATTTGTCCTCGAACATATAAGTAAAATAGTTAAACTGGAAAGAAGTAGAAAAATCAAACCTTAGCTGTGAGCTGGCTTTCTCAACATAGAATATGACAAACTGACTATACAGACAAATAATATCTTCTTCTAATGCCAAGACATAAAGTAATGAAAAGAAAACAATCACATCTACAAGGGCGATGTAATTTTTAAAAAGTAGGCAGAGCTAGGAACGCTTAACTAGACATATCTTAAAAGTTTCTAAGGATCTAGATTGCTTGCCAAGTGGTTGGAATTCTTGCAATGGGCCATTTTCTGGATTCATAATTGTCTACTGCTTACCCGAAATAGGCGAATACTTGAGTTGGTGAGATTTTATCCTGTCTGATTTGACTGATTTTGTACTAACTGGTAAAGTTACATTTGGGGATAATTTACCTCTTTTTGTCTTTTGAATCTGAGCTCCCAAAAGCCTCCAGTTATAGGAGACATGCCCAACTGAAATTACTTCCAGTGGGTGAGTCTGAGGTCATCCTGCATCACATAAGACCTCCTCAAGATAAAGAATCAAAATGCACGTTCAACTCTAACAAATTAAAAAGAAATGTTTATTTTGGAGAGCAAGAGAAAGACGAAGGAGTGAATCTGTGGCAGACACCCTCAGAGCTCACGGTATGTCCCTCCTACAGGCCACTCACCTTGCTGCAGACAGAAGCCTGTGTCTCCCCACGACACCAACCCACCAACCGGTACAAGCAGAAGGAAAAACTAAAAGTAAGTTTATTTTAAAAATTGTTAGTCGCATGTGACCCACAGGGAGAACAAAAAAAAACTCACTAAGCCGTCCCAGTGCTTCATGTCATAAGCTATGTCCCCAGCATGAAACACAGCCGTATAATTCCCTGACATAGCAGCAGCAACGAGGGACGGGATAGACTGGGAGTGGATGCCCAAGTCACCAAACAGCAAAAAATCAGGAGACCATTCCTGGAAAGTAAACGTTACATGGGTGAACATGTAGGAAATGTTACAGGTCAGCGACACATCTACTGACTTGACACAGCATTATTAAAATATGTTCTTCCTCTTGTTTTCCACTTTTAATAAAAATAATAATAATGAAGATCATTTCTATAGCGCCCACTCTCGTGTAAACACAGCTCTAGGCGCTTCGCATAAATGCATGTACGAAAAATATTCACGTACGTAACACACACACACACACACACACACACACACACACACACACACACACACACAAACACATACACTCACACACACTCACACACACCACACACTCACACACACCACACACTCACACACACATTACACGCACACATGTGCACGCCAAACACACACACACACACACACACACATACACACACACACACACACACACATACATCTACTTGCTTATCACACGTGCACGCTTACACATCGTTACAAAATGAGCACATACATAATAAAATAGTATACAGAATGCAATTCTCAAAATACATAAATGGATACATTGTTATTTGCATAACATTGTACTGAACATGAATCTACTGACATAAAAATGATGTCATTAAACGTATGTCTTTAAAGATATTTTAAATTTAGACTCAGATGTTGTATGTCTCAAGGGTCGGGGAAGAGAGTTCCAAACTGACGGAGCAATGCATAAATATCTGCTAGATAGAGCATTATGTGTTCTTCTACTTGGTTGCCTCATGTATCATATATATAACTATCTGCTAGCCTGTACTGCAACTGTGTCCTCATTTATCAAATCTTCTTTCATTTTTTAACATGCTGGTGGGCAATACAAGCTTGTAGCTTAAAACCTGTCTTTTTCGTGATGAAATTGCCAACACATGCATATTTTCAACTGTGTGTGAGTGTGTGTGTGTATGTGTGTGTGTGTGTGTGTGTGTGTGTGTGTGTGTGTGTGTGTGTGTGTGTGCGTGGGTGGGTGTGTGTGTGTGTGCGCTTTTGTGTGTATGTATGTGTGAGCATATGTGTGCGATTCCAAATTAAACTAGGTCATCAATAATAGTGGTAACAATTTATTGTCTGCATTCAGTGTCTTGAGAAGATGGTTAAAGTGTTTCATTAATTACTACACATCACCAGAGGAGGGGGGGATACATTCATACCTCCTCTTTATCTACGGAATGCTAACATTCGTACCATCTCTCTATCTACGGAATACTTCATGTTTAATGGGGGGGGGGGGGGGGGGTTCAGTAAGTGTTTAACGGCGCTCGCAACTGTATAAGGTCATATGAGTGCGCAGTACATAATAATAATAATAATAATAATAAATAGCATTTGTATAGCATTTGTATAGCGCATATCCCCGCTCAACAGCAAACTCTATGCGCTTTACACTATATTATTACCCCGGCAGACCATAGAACACTCCGAAACATTCTCAGCTTCCCGGGGAGCATACAGAGCAAGCAGCTGATTAAGCGCTCAAACACTAACAAACTGACAAGATCTTTCGCTGTCTATAGCCGGGTACCCATTCCCACCTGGGTGAAGTGAGGAAAATATGTGTAAAGTGCCTTTCCCAAGGACACAACGTCGGGCCCCTGACGGGATTCGAACCCACGACCTTACGGTTGCGAGCCTAACCACTAGGCTACCGACGCCATAAGGTCTAGGGCAAGTCACCACTAGGAACTTCACCTGCAGATGGGCGGCTGAGATAAACTCTAGAAACAGGGCTCTATTAAACCAAAAGTGAAGGTACGAAAGAGCTGATAACAGATTGGGAACTCATATTTCCTGCCTGTGGCATTTCTAGAAACAGGGCTATTTAAAACCAAAAGGGAAGGTATGAAAGAGCTGATAACAGATTGGGAACTCACATTTCCTGCCTGTGGCGTCTGAAAGTAGAACGGTCCTACTTGATGGTCATTGCAGAAAACTCTGTAGAAGTATGTGGTCAGAGCCAGCAAATCCTGAGAAAACGACATAAAACTGACAGTTTATAGATGAAATGCTTTCAAGTCAGACAAACTCACAATGAATAAATCTCTATGAAAATGTGATTATGATTAGTAATCTCTCTCTCTCTCTCTCTCTCTCTCTCTCTCTCTCTCTCTCTCTCTCTCTCTCTCTCTCTCTCTCTCTCTCTCTCTCTCTCTCTCTCTCTCTCTCTCTCTCTCTAATATATATAATTATGTATTTATATATATATATATTAAAAAGGAACAGATTACACCACAGTGCTTGCTAACAGTTTAAAAAATTTGAACATGCACTTAAGGTCATACACACCGCTGCTATCGCACAACTATATGAACACTGAT